GACCAGTATCCGAGGAAATCCAAAAAACACCCGAAACATTTGGCGCCGTCTGTGGGGATACTCGTACGCTATGGCTATAGATGGTCAGACACCTAATCTAGGCGAGGATGGACATGTAGAGGATTTAATCCCTACAATCCGTACTAGTGATCCTCTGATAGCCACATTTCAAGAAGCTGATGACCCTCCTGTTACCGCAGTCTCTCTTAAGGCCGCCCTTAATAAACTCAGAAAAGAGATTGAAAACATTGGAGCCTTTACCTCTAGGCAGCCGCCCAGGAGAGAGGAGCAGAGAGCTCTAAAGAAGACACACAGCAAAGCAGTCCATGCAACGGACGCTGGAAACACTCCCTTTCGAAGGCCGACTAGAAGGTCCCCGAGAGTACCGCGGACTAATTTCTCTGACTTGCTGGCGAAAACGCAGTCGGCTGGGGGGAGGGGTAGGCAGCCTCGAAGAGAGGAGCCTGAGCCGTCCAGACGATGGAAGGACGCAAGAGATTACCTTCGGCATAAGCAGCGGGAGCGCGCCGCCTACTCGGACACGGCCTCAACCCCAACTATGTCGGATCATTTTTCACATCATTCTCTTTCCCAACATACCAACACGGCCATCTCCAGTGGAAGTCAGGCAGTCCGCACCCCAACTCCTACTCCAGTCTTCCATGCTCCAACTCCTATTCCAGCCCAATCACTGCTATATCAACCTCCTCAGGGGTTCAATGGCTTGATGCAGCCAAACCCCCAGGCATACGGATAATTTGGGCCATACGGGCAGGTGTACGGACAGGCTCCCTACCTGGCTGGACCGTCCGTGCAACCGCAACCCATCGATTGGCAGATGCGTCTACTTACTCTGGGAGATAAGCCGCCCCCTTTTTCGCAAGATATCTTAAATGCCTCTCAGCCACCAAAGGTGAAGAGTGTACTTGTGGGAGCCTATGATGGCACGGGCAACCCAGAAGAGCACATCACCTCGTACAGGAACCTGATGTACTTGTAAAGCGTAGATGACGCTACTTGGTGCAAATGTTTCCCGACCACTCTGAAAGGTGTGGCGCAGGATTGGTTCAACAGTTTGTCGGCCGGATGTATCAATTGTTTTACTACTCTTAGTTTGCTGTTCGTGGGAAATTTTTCATACAACATACCGGCTCGAAAGACTAGTCTTAACTTGGCGACAATCGTCCAAGGAAAAAATGAGGGCTTACGCTCGTACGTCCAGCGATTTATCCAAGAAAAAGCCCAAATTCATAATCTGCCGGACGAAATGGCTTACTCTGAATTTCTCCGGAGATTAAGGCACAATGGTTTTAAATTTGACTTGGTAAGGAAAAAAGATTCGGACATACGCAGGTGTTCTGCGGGAAGCCAAAGCTTATATTGAGGCGACAAACTTTTGTTCGCTCACAAAAACAGAAGCGCCGGCCAAGGGGGCTGAGAAAAAATCTCCTCAGCAAGACTCGGCCGGCTAAAAGAAAGAAGGAAAAAAGAGAAAGGAAGTCTGGGTGGCTGACGCCCAGTCACAGAAGTCCAAGAAGGTCAAGGCGTACGAGCCTCAGTTTGAATTCAACAAGTATTGCTATTCTATCCTGATGGAAATCAAGGATAAGTTTGAATTTGAGAAGCCACAGCCGCTGAGAGGCCCGGCTCAGTATAGGAATAAGAACAAGTATTTTCATTACCACAAGGATGTGGGACATGACACGAACGATTGCATCAATTTGAAGAGACTGCTGGACAAGCTAGCCGAGAAGGACATGCTAAATTCGTATGTGATGAAGTCCAAATTCACTTACACACGGACAAACAACACGTCCGATCAAAGACAGAAGAATGATAAGAACAAAGATAAGGAAGATGAAGACAACAACACTGATTCAGGTTTTGTGGTTGTGATATCAGGAGGATTTGCTTCAGGCGGTCCCACTATGAGGGGGATCAAGCAGGACGCCCGCAACTTGGGTAAAGTAATGCAAATGGATTCAGTCAAGGCTGAACCTTTCCCCGAAGTAGTCATCAGTGAAGCTGATCGGGGGTATGTCAAAGCCTTGCACAATGATCCCATGGTATTCATTATGAAGATAGCCAACTTGAAGGTCGGACGAATATTAATTGACACGGGTAGCTCGGCTGATATCATCAGCCTGGCCGCCTTGAAAAATCTAAGCTTCCCAGAGGATGCTCTCCAAGACATCACTCACCCGTTGGTTGGATTTGGGGGGAATGTCATCCACCTAGTGGGACGGATAGACTTACCTGTCCGATTCGGGCAAAAAGGGGAAGGAAGAGATATGGTTGTTCGCTTCTTGGTTGTGAAAGAACTGACTAGATATAATGTCATACTCGGACGTCCTACACTAAATGCAGCAAAAGCAGTCATTGTGCCTCACCTAATGCTGCTAAAGTTTGAGAGGACGGACGGGAAAATAGGCACGATCCAAGGAAGTCAAAAGATGGCAAAAGAATGTAATCAGTTGGCAGTTAAGCCTACAACGCGCGGACCAAAATCGTCCGAGCCAAAAGAAGAAGGAACCTCACTCCCAACACAGCAGGTCGGCCAGAAGCGTAAGGCGGCCAAGATAGAGCAAGCATAGCAGATAATGACTGTCGATCGGCCAGAAGAGTTACGACCACAGCCGGCCGGCAGTCACTAGGATATAGTGCTCGACCCCGATCAACCAAGTCGCACGGTTAGTGTAGGCACTATAGCTGTGGGTGTGCTTGGGGATGAGTTAATTCAAATATTGAGAGAGTTCAAAGATGTATTTGCATTTGATGTTGGCGAGATGCCAGGTATAAGCCCTAACCTGGCCGTGCATAAATTGGCTGTAAGCCCGACCGTTAAACCTGTCCGCGAGAAGAAAAGGAATCATGGAGAAGAGAGGAATTAGGCGGCCGCAGCAGAAGTCAAGAATCTGCTGGACGCCGGTTTCATTCGAAAATGTTATTACCCGGAATGGGTGGCCAATGTGGTCCTTGTGAAGAAGCCGAATGGAACTTGGAGAATGTGTGTGGATTACACCGATCTAAACAAGGCATGCCCCAAGGATAGCTTTCCCCTGCCCAAAATCGACCGCCTGGTTGATTCGACGGTCGGGCATGCCCTAATGAGTTTTATGGGCGCATACTCCGGATTCCATCAAATTCCATTATGGGAAGAAGACCAGGAGAAAACAGCGTTCGTGACTGAGCAGGGGTTGTATTGTTACAAAGTTATGCCATTCGGCCTTAAGAATGCCCTAGCTACCTTTCAACGACTTGTTAATACAGTCTTCAGAGATCAGCTCGGCCGGAATATGGAGGCGTACATTGATGACATGATTGTCAAGTCAAAAGAGTCGGCCGACCATTTGAAGGATCTACGAGAAACTTTCACCGAACTCAGGCGGCATAAGATGATGCTAAATCCAAAGAATTTTGTCTTTGGTGTTGAGTCCGGTAAATTTCTCGGATTTTTAATTGATCAACGTGGAATTGAGGCCAACCCTAAAAAAATCCAAGCTGTCATGGACATGAAGTCACCAAGGACAATTAAAGAAGTCCAAAGATTGACCGGCTATTTAGCAGCACTTGGTAGATTTCTGTCAAGATCAGGGGACAAGTGCCGTTATTTCTTTCAAACCATAAAAAAGAAAGCCATGTTTGAGTTGACAGAGGAGGCCGAGGAAGCATTCGTACAGCTAAAAGGCCATCTACATACATTTCCTCGGCTTGTCAGTCCAATTAAGAGCGAGAAGCTATTTATCTATCTTGCCATCTCAGAACACTCCTTAAGTGTCGTCTTACTTGCTGAACGGGACGACCGCCAGATCCCTGTCTACTTTATCAGCCACGTACTTCATAACGCCGAGTTAAGGTATCCCCCTATTGAAAAATTTGGCTTGGCATTATACATGGCATCAAAAAAGCTGCGGCCATACTTCTTGGCACATTCAATTGTGGTCTACACAAAACCAACCTCTGAAGAAGCCATTTACAACTTTAGAGGCAAGCGGCCGTATGCTTAAATGGGCCTTGGAAATGAGAGGCTTTGACATTGCATTTGAGCCAAGAAAAGCGATTAAGGGGCAAGCCTTTGCTGATTTTTTAGCTGAAATGACTCGGTCGGATCTTCAGACGGCCGGCGATCAGATCTGGAAAGTGTTCGTGGATGGTAGCGCGACAACTACTGGCTGTGGTGCAGGTGTTATATGTCAGTCTCATGAGGGAGACAAGTTCATGCTCTGAGATTCCAGTTTCAAGCCTCTAAGAATGAGGCCGAGTACGAAGCCCTCTTGGTCGGCCTTAGAATGTGTAAGGCGGCAGGAGCGATAAAAATTAATGTATGCTCGGACTCCGTACTTGTAGTCGGCCAGGTGAATGGAGACTTCGAGGCGAGGGAGCCGGCCATGATAAAGTACTTGAAGATTGTAAAAGAGGAGGCTAAGAGCCTAGATCATTTTACTCCACAGCAGGTCCCTCGTTCGTCCAATCATCAGGCGGACGCCCTCTCTAAGTTAGCATCCTCAGCATCATGTGATACTAACAGGTCAGTGTTTTGGGAAGTGAAAGAAAAGAGGAGTATTGACGCTGAAACAATACACGCCATTGATAGAAGCTCCACTTGGATGGACGGGATCATATCTTACCTAAAGGATGGATTACTCCCGGCTGATCCTAAAGAGAGATAGCTGATGAAAAAGAGAGCGGCCTGGTTTGAAATTAATCAAGGAGAGTTGTTCAAAAAGGCATTTGTAAAGCCGTACCTGAAATGCATCACTCTTGAGAGAGGGCATGATGTCTTGGATGATCTTCAGTAGGGGCAGTGTGGTTCTCACATTGGAGGACGAGCTTTGGCTGAAAAGGCTGCCCGCCTGGGTTACTACTGGCCGAGCTTAAAGTCGGACGCAATGGAAATGGTAAAGAAGTGTGACAAGTGCCAGAGGTTCACAACATTAATTCACTGACCCGCCAATAGTCTTTCGGCCATCAGCAGTCCACTCCCTATTGCCAAATGGGAGATGGACATTTTAGGACCATACACACCAGCGTCCGGCCAAAGGCGGTATGTGTTTGTAGCAGTAGACTACTTCACAAAATGGGTAGAGGCCGAGGCCGTCCGGGGCATCAAATGGACGGATGTTTCCGCCTTCATATGGAAGAGTATTATTACCTGCTTTGGCATCCCTCAGTCTATGGTGTTTGACAATGGACCTCAGTTCGAAACGCCTCAACTAAAAGAATGGTTGGAAGACCAAGGCATAGCTCACTACTTTGCCTCAGTCGGCCGCCCACAGTCAAATGGTCAGGTAGAGGCATACAACAAATTGATCTCCAATGGAATTAAGCGCAAGCTTGAAAGAGCAGGCGGCTTATGGGCTGATGAGTTAGTCAATGTGCTGTGGTCCATACGAACCACGACCAAGAGTTCCACAGGGGAAACTCCCTTCTTCTTAGTCTATGGTGCCGAGGCGGTCCTTCCAATTGAAATGTATGAGCCCACCCTTAGGGTAATGCTATATGATGAAGCGGCCAATTGGGAAGCCATGAAGACCGCCCTAGACTTCCTTCCTGAAGTCAGGGGCAACGCGGCACTTAGACACGAAATCTATCGTCTACGGATGACATGGGCGTACAATCGCCGAGTGTCTAAGCGGCCGATGAAGTTGGGAGATCTGGTCCTAAGAAAGATGGAGGCTGTGGGACGAGCAAATGAGGATGGGAAGATGACCCCAAATTGGGAAGGGCCGTATCGAGTCAGGGAAGAGGTCCGAGATGGGACTTACCGTCTCGAAGCCATGAACGGCCGACCCATTCCGCGTACTTAGCCAAAAGCTGTGTATACAGCTAGGTCTGTTGACCGAGCAATGTAAGCCGTACGACCACAACAATGTAATTTTGACAAATTAATGAAAAGTCAAACATTGTTATAATTATTTTTCCATTTAATTTATGCTTATTTGCACAGTCATAATTTATACGACCGCGTGAAATTTGCAAGTAGGTTGCTTGCAACATAGCAACTCGGTCGCAGAACAAAAGTAAATTAAATAAAATAAGAATGGGCAACTTGATCCCAAGTCATATGAATGTCCGCCCTTAATTAAGGCGGACGGAAAAGGTAAGGTACCCTGTGAAACCCATAAATGGGGCAAGGGCATACCTAGGCATTCCAGCCCAGCCGAACATGAAAATTTTAAGTTGAGATCATACTTGAAATTTTCTGAGTGCGTCCGAGCGATAGTTTCAACGGACAAACTCACATAAAGCCAATTGAACGGCCAATTAATGTGTTGATTCGGCGTACCACCTAGTCCAAGGGCAATCACTATTATGATTTGATTAACTTGGTAGTAGTCATACCGCCTAAGGTATAAATTCTACCAAGTCAATCAAACCACCTAAAATATGGACTAGGCGAACGCCGAATAAAGGGGCATACCCCACAATTGTACGAAGATACAAAAATACGCGTACATAAAATCGCTCAAATGTGAAAAAGTATGCGTACGAAAATGCAAAAAATTAAGTGCAAAATTTGCAAAGTATGAAGCAAAACCTGAAAGCTGAATTAATAAAAAGACCGCTCAAAAGGCGGTAAAATATCTTACATAAAAACCGCTCGAAAAGGCGGTTGAAAAAGTCAAGAAAAATATACATAAATAGAGCTTAAAGACAGAAAAAGCTGAAAGTAAGGGGGCGGTCGGGGTTGAATCTGAATCATGGACTGGGACGGGATCCTGAGAAGCTGAAGGAGAAGCGTCCTCAGCTGGCACCTCTTTGCTCTCTGCTTCACCATCATGGCCGGCCACTACTTCATTTTCCTCATCCTCTGAGGTTGTTGGTGTAGCGTCCAGCTCTAGAGAAGGCTGCCCATCCTTCTTAGCTTCTTCCCTGAGGCAGACGAAGTTGAGGCGCTTAGTGAAGCGCTCTTGAAAATAGGCAGCCTCCCCATCGTCCACCATGAGCTCAAACGCCTCGAAGAAGTGACTCTTCAGCCTATCCTCAACGTTTTTTTCAATACGGACGACCTCGTCTGCGCTAGGGGCCCGAGGCGTCTTCAGCTGGAGAGTCAAGTCCTCAACAGAACTCTTCAAGGTCTCCACCTCGGCCCTAAGTGCGTCCGCCTCGTCCAGGGATTCTTTCAAATGCTTCTGGGCCAAGGACACCTCACTTCTGAGCTTCTCTGAAGCCTCAAATCCCTCCTTCCAGCGTTGGCCGTCCAAGAGGGCCTGATCCCTCTCCTGCCTCATAGTGTCCCTGACTAAGGCCTCTTGTTCGAGGGACTTACCCAGTTTCACCAGATCCTCCGCCTGCCGCGTTGCCTTGTCGGACAACGCATTGATCTGGGTATCAAAATATCGGCGCTGGACGGCCACTTCCCCAGTAACGGCATCTTGGGCCTTCTGGACGTTTTCCCAGGCGCGCTTCAGCTTTTCGTTTTCTTTTTCCTTCCATTCAAGGAAGGCGGTTAGCCGCAAGAAAAGCTGCGCACAAGAAAAACAGGGTAAATGTGTTAGCAAAGTAAGAGTGAAAAATTGACTAAGTGCATTTGAGGGGAAAAGTTACCTCAGCGCTGCAATTGATCATGGGGCCGAGGAAGCCCTCATGTATCCCCCGCAGCTTATCTCGCTGCTCAGCAGGGACGGCCCGGGCCATGGCTTCTCGCATAGCTTTTCTGTCCGCCCCAGTAAGGGACTGGCCGGGCGTCTTCATGTGTAGCTCCTCTGCAACGTCTGTAGGCGGATGCAAGGAGTTTAATTTAAGCTAAAAAAAAACCGAAGTATAAAATCCAAAATCACTCGGACTGACCGTTAGAGAAGCTTGGAGGGGTAGGAAGGTTAAAAGTGAATGGCGGGGGCGGCGCAGGCTCGTCACCCTCTTCCCCCGTCCGGCCAGGCTGATCGCCGGCCGACTGAATGGCATCAAGCCAATCAGATTCATTGACTCTTTGGACGGGCGGAGTCACTTCAGGCCCGGTCGGTTTTGCCGGGGTCGACTTACCCCCATCACCCGATTTCTCGGACCTAACATGACCCGGCATGGCGGCCGAATCCATGGACTTGGAGGCCCCGCCATCACTCAGCCGGGGTTGTTCTCCTTTGGACTGCTTAGAGGCAGTCCGCGACGTCGTCTTGGCCGCAGAAGTGGAAGTGGTCTTGGACGCGACCGTCTTCCTTTGTTTGGACGCCTTGCCGTCCTGGTCCGTCTTGGACGCAGGGAACGACTGATTCCGTTTGGACCGAGGGGTTGGAGTGGCCAGCTGTAGAGGCAAAAGTTAGTAAAAAGAAAGCAAGATAATATAATTGATAGGCCGTGCCAAGTTAGGAAGAAGATCTCTTCCGTAATATATACACGGACGAGGGGAAGAAGTCCAGATGGGTTTACTTACTCCTTTAGTTTGCTCGTACATCTTCTGGCGAGCCTTGTATCGAGCCAAGTCAATCTCGGCCATGTTGACCTCCCCTTTCTGCTCTTAGTCAAGCATCTTGTATGCCTCAGCTGAAAGAGAAAAGGAAAAAGTGTTAGAAAATTCTTCAAGATCAAATAATCTGCGTATGTGTAAGAATATGTGTCCATGCGTCCACCTTGGGGCGGGTTCTTGTACAGTCCATAGGCGGACATAAATGTGGGATCCCGCAACCAGCTAGATAAAGGGACCCAATTACTTGGAGTGCGCTCAGTTTTGCCGCCCCTTCTCACCCGCTTGACTTTGAAATATTCAAGCTGGTACTCCTGGCTGGGGTGGACGGGTGGCTTATCAGGCTTGAGGTCCCCGCGTCCAAGTTGAATTGGCCCAGATAGAACCGATTCATCCGCAAGTTAAATTCAACGTCCTTGGTTTTGATGCGGTAGAATCAGTGCTTCCAGTCACGCCACTTAGAGACGCGGTCCACCACCATCATGTAGTCTCTAGTGGTGCTTAAGATGAACCAGCCGTCCGTGTCTGCGTCCAGCTTAGTCAGTGAGTGCATCTCACAGAAAACAGCAAAGTCTGGCTTGAAGCCTTTGCAGATGCACGTCACCAAGTACCCAAAAATGTTCAACCAGCTGTTTGGCATCAGTTGGAAGAGGGCTATGTCATACTCGTCCAAGATTGTGCGGACGAAAAGATGGAGGGGGAAGCGCAGTCCAATGTCTAAGGCCGCCCTGTAGACGCTAAAGGATCTTTGGCGCGACCTCGCTTTTTCCCAAGCGGCCACGGCGCGGGACTTCCGTGGGGGTTATCTCGAATCCCTCCCCAAGGTGGAGGAATGCCTTGTAATCCTCAAATCTGTAGTTTAGGTAGCCCAAGGCTGTGCTACCCACCGTGCAGGCGTACGGATCCTTGAAGTTGTCAATATTGGCAACATCCTCCTCGACCGCCTATTCGCCCTCTGCGGCCGCCGCTCCACCCTCAGCCGCATTCTCAACTTCATCCTCCTCTCGCTGAGGAGCGCTCCCAAACTCGGAAGACAGCACTCTGTCCAGGTCGGCTGCCTCTGCTGAGCTGCGGCTCCTAGAACTATGACCGCCTCGGGGAGAGATAATGTCTTCAAGTGGCCGTTTTCCCTTATCTTTGGCACCGGCCGCCTGACTCCCATCAGGAGGAGCTCTGTGAGGGGGCAGGTCGGACGGTTCATTAATTGAAACCCCCGTTCTTGGTCTGTCCGACCTGCCATATCGGAGATAGAGTTCTGAGGGAGTGGGGACGGACGCATCAGCGTCCGCCCGAGAAGAAGAAGGAGGCCCTTCACAGAGTAGCAACTCGGCCCCATCCATGACCGAGCTAGCATATTGGGGGAACCTCAACCCCGGGGTTCGCCCGGACGCTCCCCCCGTAGTAAAAGCGCCTTGGGTTCTTTGACGCTCCTCGAACGAGGAAGTTACTTCCACGGCCGAGCAGTGCCCGTGGAAGCGGTCGTAGGAGTGGTAGAAGGGGTCTCTAAGTTGGCATTATTTGGGTCATACGGAGGCCTAGGGTTTACCAAACTTCCGCCTGGATTTCTGGCCGCATGACGATCGTACGTTTGCATCGTCCGTGCCATGTTCGACTGCAGGGACAGAGAAGAATGGGTGGATGTGAGTTGGTACGCACTAGAAATGGACCCACTCCATGAAGGAGACAACTCGTCTCCGTCCACTCTAGACTCCTCAGTCCCAGGCGAACGGCCGGCCTCATGAGGAGAAACGGACGAAGCCGAGTGTTGAGCCAACTTTTAAATAAACAAAGAAATAAAAATGCAAGGAAAAGAAAAACAGGCGACCTACCTCTGTACGTGTTGAAAACTTGTAAACCTTGAAGATTGATCGGAAAATTCAACAAATGTCCCCGGAAAACTCAACCACACGGCGGAGCTCTTGAAGATTCAAAGGAAAACACACTTTCTCTCTCTAGAAGCTCTGACTTCTCTAGAAAATGTAAAGTTCCAAAGTGCCAAAATGAAGTCAAACCCCTTGTATATATAGGGAAAATTTATGGGGGTAAGATAGTAAATTCATCTTTCCCGCCTAACTCAGCTGAACGGTTACAATTTGAAAATGTGACCTAGAATTTGGAGGGACAAGGAGCAACTCCGTTAAATTAGGCGGAAAATAAGGTGACCTAATAAACGGCGCGTCCAAAGGGAAGTTGGCAGAACTAAAGCTCTTTCCGCAATGGAAAGACGGTCGCATCTCTCCAAAGCAAGACGGCCTATCTTCGACCAGGGAAGTTGGCAGAGCTAAAGCTCTCTTCGCAATGGCGAGACGGCCGCCTCTCCCAACAGCAAGACGGCCTACCTTCGTCCGCGCCATTTGTATAGACAGGCGTTCGCTCTAAAATTTTCAGGCGGACGGAAAACTGACA